AATTTGTTACTTCTCTTCAATTTCACTTTCTTTGTCTTGATCCTGATTGGTTGGGATGTGATGGACACTAATGATTTAAGGTCCCATCAACCTGTTTGGGTGCATTTTACAAGTGAAATTGCTAATGTTCTTGCCAAGAGGGTTGATAATGGTGATTGGGTTGTTTGTAGGAAAAGCCAACACACTTTTTGTGGAGGGTCTCCAAATTCTTGATGCTGTTCTTATTGCTATGAAGTGGTGGACTCCATTATTAGATCTAAGGAAAGTGGTCTTGTTGTCAAATTGGATATGGAGAAAACCTATGTCCATGTTTCTTCATCTTTCTTGCTATATTTACTGAGGAGAATGAGGTTTAGTCCGAAGTAGTGCAAGTGGATCAAAAGATGCATTTTCGTCTGTGACTTTTGCTGCCATGCTGAACGGGGGTTCCTCTGACTTCTTCAATTTCTTCAGGGGCCACAGAAAAGGGGATCCCTTATCTCTTTTTCTGTTTATCCTAGTTATGGAGGTGTTCCATAGTATGCTTGCTCAAGAAAGAGCTTGCAACCTGAAAGGTTACATGTTGATTCGGGGAGCTCAAGGAAGGAGGTGACAGGTCTCCTTTTTGGTGATGATACTCATCTTTTCTTCAGGCCTAGTACTGAGTCCTTAATGAATGTAAAACGTCTTCTTGTTTTCTTGTTGTCTCCAGCCTGCACATCAATCTGGATATATGGGAATTGTTTCTTTTGGTAGTGGTAGGGTGGATATTTTCACTAACATCATACGTTATCGGTTTCCTTTCTTCCACTAAAATATCTTGGCTTACTACTAGGGCCAAAGTTTAAGGATACTACTCTATTGGATCCTTACTATAAGAAAAATAGAAAAGATGCTGTCTGGTTGGAAGAACATTTATCTTTCTAAAGGAGATAGACTCTGATTAAAATTGCTCTTGCTAATTTACCCATTCACTTTTGGTCCTTATTCCCTATCCCTGCTAGTGTAGCTAAGAGGGTTGAATATTTGCAATGCCGATTTTCCTAGCGGAACTCTATGAAATGAGATGTCACCATCTAATATCGTAGGTTGTAGTTAAAAAATGTTTTGCTTGGGGGCAGGTGGGAGAGGGGTTTGGCATAAGAGCCATGACTGCTATGAAGGAGGCCAGGTTTTGGAAGTTCATGTCTTACAGCAATGGCTTGTGGAAATAGGTGATTACTGCAGAATATAAGCTGAACGGCAGGGATTGTAAAACAACTAGGATTGCTCATAGTTATTGTACTAGCCTTTTGAAGTGGATTAGCAAGGAATCGAGCTTCTTTTTGACTTATTGTCATTTAGGCTGTTCAATGTTTAGACATTAACCTTTTGGGCAGAATGTTGGTGTAGCGAAAGATCTCTCAAAGACAGATATCCTGGTATTTTTGCTATTGCTAGGGATAAGAAGGCTTTGGTGAAGGATATTGTGATCACCAGTTCCATCTCTCCTCCTTTATGGGATATTAATCTTTCATGGAACCTCAGTGACTAGGAGATTGAAGATTTACTCTCTTTTTGCTTCTTGAGTTCCACCATTTCGATCCTGCTATTCATGATCACTTTGCGTAGCCACATTCAGAGAAATTGTTTTGTTCTCCGTGAGATTCTTTTCTTTCTACTTCTTCTTTCATAATGGTGTTATCTCAGGGTTTCCATGAAAGCATATTTGGAAAAAGAAAAGGCTTGCCGATGAGTTTTTCTTTGCTTGGATGATGTGTGGGGGAAAAATCTTACGAATGGATAATTTGAGGATGCAGAGGAAATTTGCTACATTCAGGTGCACTATGTGTCATCAAGATAGTGAATCCCCTAACCACCTTGTCACCTAAGTTGGTCTCATGTTTTTGTGAAATACATACACGAATCATTTTTGTGAAATACATGCACTATGTGTGGGGAGGCTGGAAGACTATGATATTCTTCTTTGTTCTTCCTTAGCATCTCCAAGCAGCTGGTGGCTTGATTGATGAAGGATTATGGGGCTTGGATATTATTAGGGTGCGAGAAACTTTGGAAAAAACTTGCTTCCC